GAGGCTTGGAAGGCGCGGGCGCGACGTCCACTGCGCGCAGTCATCGAGAGTCACGATTGCCGTGCTCCATGTGTTTTCTCTGATGTTATGCATTCGTGCGATTGCAAAGGGGTTGGGAGTAGCATATTTGGCGGCGCCCTCGCTCTCGCGCTGGAGAATTCTGCGCTCGGCCGCGCGCGAGAGCAACGCTTAGAGCACGCCGGCGCACGCATGGCGCGACGGCGCGACGATCGCCCCCGAACCCATAGACTTCCGCCTGTGCGATTGGCGCAGCCGCGGCCTGAAGGCCGGCGGGGGCCGCGGGGGGGGGGGGGGGGCGTCGTCGAGGCTGCTAGCGCGCGAGCCGCAGCGCCCACGTTTCGCGACTTTGTCCGCGACCACTTCGCGAGTGCAGCTGGCGAAGCGCCGATCGTCGTCAGGCTCGCATCTGCATGGAAGGGGTTCTGCGACATAATACTTGGTCAAGGCATGTTTTCACCACTGCCTAAAGTTGAGCGCCGTCGAGCCGCGCGCTTGGACATCGGTGCGATGCTGGCGCAACTTCGACAGGCTGCTGGGCTCTCGCAAGAACTTTGGTGGACGGCCACGACCGAAGTTCATTGCCTCCAACATGTGGCTGGCGATTCTGAGTTGCTCAACGCACGGTGGTTGCAAAGTATGGGGAGGAGTCCCTGGTTGGGACTTGCACGGCGATATGGCGTAAGACCATGCGCTGACGGCACCAGAGGTTTGTTCAATCAGTTGTGCTTCTTGAGCGTGCCCGTGGTCTCCTGATCAGGCTGGAGACGTCATGAGATGGTACTTGTCCGTTTTCCATCCCGCTTTCTGTCATTCATCCGCTGCCCGTTTCGCTCCCTCCTCCCCGTCTTTCTGCCCGTCCTTCCCCTTCTGTGCACGCCTGACAGTCCCAGACCGTCTTGGGGTTCTGTCCGATGGCGAGCTCGGAGCGACGAGAGTGAGAGGCCAAGAGTCGAAGACAAGGCACGAGGGCAAGGGTCAGTGCCCCGCCCCCTCGTGTCCAAGCTCCTGGCAAACCTCAGCAGGCTACCCACTTGCGCTGCCGCGCGATTCCGCCAACCCTTCGGCCCCGGGCCCCTCGCCACCCTCAGCAGCCCGCGGCAAGCATGTAGAAGCGCCGCCGAAGACCCCACATGACACCCCAAAGAAGTCCCTAACCAACCAAGGCAACTAATCTCATGGGTCGCGGGCGGATGACGGGAGGGGGGAAGATGATGGAGAAGGGGCAGCTGTAGTAGCACTGGCGAAACACAGTCCACATCGACAAACAAAACATGTTGAATATGCAAATCGGCCCATCCCCCGTGACTAGCCAAGGGAAGTGATGGGACGGGGGATGGGCCGCGCATTCCCGCTAGGGGGGCCGTGAGCCCAAGGCCTCTGCTTATCCGCGTTTAACACCTTAGCCATCGTGGACCCCGCGCAGTAGGCTCGCGCACTCTCGATGTGCAGTCTGTGCGCGGTGCAACCTGCACGAGGCAATTGATGCAGCGCTATCTATGGGGCGCAGTCTACCTGGCGCGAATTCTATGGCGCAGTCTCTGGGGTGCAACTAATCTTGACCGTCTTGAAGCTGTCCTCTCCACTGCTCGTGCAAACACCCTACCCTCCCACCCGCAACTGGGTCGCAAGAACTCTTCAGACAATACCGTGACGGTAGGTACCACATGGCACTTGGCCACGGCACCGACGCCGACGACGACAGCGACATCGACGACGACGGCGCCGCCGACACCGACTGCGACGACACCGACGACGTCTCCGATGTTTTCGACGACGATAACGGCGACGACGATACCGACGACGACGGCAACGACGCCGACGACGACGACGAAGACGACGACGACGTCGCCAACGGACACGACGACGAGGGAGGATAAACAATCGACGATGGCGACGACGACGACAACGACGATGGAGGAGGGAAGACGGCTTCGACGCCAACGACGAAGAAGGAGGAAGGACGGCGACGCCGACGACGACAACGACGAGGGAGGAGGGACGTCGACGACGACGACGACAACGACGACGAAAACGACGACGACGGCGACGAAATAGGAGGGACGACGACGAGACGCCGACGACGGACGACGACGACGAGGGAGGAGGATCACGACGAGGGAGGAGTGAAGACCACGACGACGACGACGACGACGACGACGGCGACGAAATAGGAGGGACAACGACGAGACGCCGACGAAGACAACGAGGGAGGAAGGACGACCATGGCGACAACGACGACGGAAGCGACGACGACGCCAAGACGACGACGACGACGACGACGAGGAAAGACAGAACGACGACGACGACGACGACGACGACGACGAGGGAGGAGGGAGGACGACGACGACGACGACGCAAAAGCGCGCGCGCACACTTTTGTTGAAAACCCGTGTTGCGAAACCTTGTTTTTTTTTTTTTTTTTTTTTTTTTTTGTAATTTTGTTTACGCACGATTTCGAAATCCTTCCGAAACCGAGGGTTTTTGAAGGATTTCGGCATACGCCCGCGACGACGCGCGCGTCTGCACTCCGTCCGATGTTTTGCAGAGGGTTCTCGCGACGGCACACGCGCAAGGGCGTTCGACAGATTTCGACATGCGCGCGCGCGAAGCCCGTTTGGTAGCATTGTGTGAAAATCTTGGAAAACCTATGGTTTTAAGATTTCGCAAGAGCTCGCGCGTAAGTTTTTTTAGCAAACCAGTGTTGCGAAACCATGTGTTTTTGTATGTCCTTTGGAAATTCACTTGTGAAATATCTCCGGAACCGACGGTTTTTGAAGGATTTCGGCATGCGCGCGCGACGACGCGCGCGTGTGGTTTTCGCCCAATTTGTTGCAAGGGATTCGTGAAAAAGTGCCATGTTAGAACGAAACATGTCACCGCGTAGTTTTTTTTTTTTTTTTTTTTTTTTTTTAAAAAAAAAAAAAAATATATATAAAACAAAAAAAAAAAAACAAAAAAAAAAAGGGTCCCTCAGAGGGGGAAACCGGCCCGCTTGGGATGGTGCGATTTCATATTTCGGGTGGACGAGTGTGCATATATATTATATATATATATATATATATAATATATATATATATATGAAACTATACTATCCCAGGGGGAAGCGTTAACTCCGGGGGGGTAGAGTCTATTCTCTTTTTAGAAAGGACAATGTATGTGGTGGAAGCCGTGTGCTGCGAGTTATGAAGTGCAAAATGCGCGGTGGAACTTGTGCGGTGCGAGTTGGTTGGTGCATACAGAGCAGGGCGCCCGCGAGACGCCCATGGGCGCGCAATACTCGGTTGAGCGACATAATGAATCGAGGCACGGCGTGCGACCCGTTTCGCGGCAAACGACAATTTGTCAAACACCGCGCGCCGCGTAGAAGGGAAGCTCTCGCCGAGGCACGGCCTGCAATGCGCCCGCCGCGCGCGGACTTAGAAGGCCAGTATCGGACACATGCAATGTCACAGTTGAAAAAATGGCACTATTATTTGTGTTATTGTATCATTAGTATCTTGACACGGAATTATCAAAACGCGCTGGTGAGTTATTATGATTGTAGTTGTTCGACAATCATGTCGGATGTCATGGTAAAATCAGGGCGTCGCAATGGCATTACCATTCGCATCATCAAGGTTAGAACAAAAAACAACGGAGTCCGTCTATTGGGGAAAGCAAGCCGTGCGTCGACCTGGCGAGGTCTACCGCCTCGCCGGTGAATGACTCTTCCGCATAATCCCAGACCAATGCTGGGCACCGCGCTGTCTTCACCTGGTCGTCGAGGGCGCGGTGAAAAGCGTGTGGGACACCCGTCACATCATCCACCCCGTTGTTTGCCATTCAGCAGAGGCGACACTCCTTCGAGCAAGCTTGGCATCATCAAGCGATTCCGACAATTTTCTGCCACTGTGCAGCTTGTGCCGCCCCTCGACTCTCGCCACCAGTACAGGTCCTCATGCGTGTCATTGGGATGCTTGGCGCACCAGTGGCGGAGCTCTGCAACCTCGCCCCGAGGAGTCACAGAATTACCAATGACATGCACGACTGCTGGCAGCAGATGTCGCCCTTCCGTTGCCTTGACTGTCAACCGAGGGGCTCCATTGTCCTTTATCATAGCAAGGGTAAGGCCATTGATCGAAAACCACCTCTGACCGATGCACCTGCTGGACGTCTTGATCAGCATGTGGAGTTCACCGATTACCTGCTTCGGAGCTATGATCATTCCGCCCATCTCTCGGGACAATAAGACGAGTATTATGCCTTATAGGTCTTGTAAGCACCCCAGGTCGGAAGCATACATGAGGTCGAACAAGCAACATGACAGCAAGCAAATTGGCAGGTTCAATATCTCAGAAGTGGTGCGGCCCCTAGACAGCGACTCCGCCAACATCGCAGTCGTTGAACGCATGGTTTGTCTCCACAATGCTGTGAGCGTGAAGTCCGTGAACGGAGGAGTCGAAGGTTGCCATGCATTTGAAGCAAATCTTGGAATCGCTTGCCGTAGCTTGCCAGCCATTGACGTCAAAAGCTTCTTTGAACCAGGCCCAGTCGCCGCGCTTCTGAATAACGCCAGCGATGAAGCTTATCGTTTCTTCTCCTTCGACCACTTTGCCCTCGACTTGTCACCAACCTGTCCTGACTCGTGAAAGGCGACGTTGTCTTCGCGAAGTAGTGGGTGCAATAGTCATTCTGTTTATCTGATAATGCTGGCCCCTGCTATTGCTGTTGCATGCTCTCACCCCTCTGCCCGTAAACATATTGGCTGAGGGGGCCCCCTTTTGCCTACGCTACCAGCTAGCATAACTTATCATTTGCAGCGAGAAGGTCTTGGAATAAAAGATTCACGCATATTGTCAGCACCTGCGTGTGCGTTGCATTGGCAGCGGAGCGTGTATTCCGAGCTCCCTCGCAGGGAGAACCTTTTCGGCATCAGACAGTTTCTTCCCGGACACTCCCGTGCAGTCGGACAGATCACGACGGATATTACATCTCGCACGATGGCTGACCGGAGGCCTGCTGCTGCCGCTGGTTCTCGCGGTGCCGCCGCACCGAAGAAGTGCGGAGATCGTCGATGCAGGGGCAAGCACCCTCGAGATGGAGCCGCGGCAGCGGCTACGCCCGACGATGAGACCTACGAAGAGGAATGGGCCGACGAGTGGGCTGGAGAGGACTGGGCCGAGGACGACGACGAGGAGTCGGAGATTCCACCGAACTCGGCGGAGTTTCGACGCACCCGCGGTGATCGCAAGAAGTGGCGCGGAGGACGGTGCCCAGCCCCACCTCCACTCGAGGCCCGGTTTCAGAATATATGCAAGCAGCCGAGATACTACCAGAAGTGGGTTAGGAAAGTGCACATGTGGAAGGCCAGGGCGCGACGCTGCAAGCCGATGGCCGAGCTGGCCCTGGACCTTTCGGACGTCATCACGGGCGAGGGCGCAGAGATGATCGAGTCTTTGGAATGGGCCCGTTTGTATTCACAAGATGGCATTGATTTGGTGATCAACTCACTCGCCGTGTTTGACGAGCAGCAGATCCTACAGGTTGGAGACCTCATGGAAGAGCACGAAGAAGTGGAGCGCCTGCCTGGTGAGCTGCTGGCCGCGTACGTCGCGCATTTCAAGGATCTCGAGATGCGGCTCAAGCGGGCAGAGCTTCCAGCTCAGCAAGGACAATTTCGTGCATTCAAGTTGTTGCGAAGTTCATGTTTATCGCCGGAGGTTCGGCGCAACCTCCTCCTCGCGACGGGCAATGAGTATGACTTCGACCGCCTCGTTCAGGCTATGAGTGTGCAGTGGCCGTCCACCGCCCCGAACTGGGTCGCTCCAGTACGACGGATGGCACGCGAGCGACTCGGTGAGGCGGCCGCTCCTGAACGCAGGTCGGCTGGTCGAGATCACGACAAAGGAGGCGGCAAAGGACGAGATCGACAGCCACAGAGTCGAGCTCCTCGACCAGCGCCGAAGCCGCCCCACGTCAGCGAGGCCGACATTATTCCCGAGGACGAGGCTGAGGAAAACGAAGATGAAGATGACCCCGATCAAGCAGAAGTAAATGAGGCTTACGCCGAGGAGGTTGACAGCATCCAGGTCATGCAGGAGGTGGCGGACGCTTTGACCGTCACAAGCGACAAGTTGAAGAAGCTGACCTTGGGCCGCGGGTGGACCGGAAGGTCCTCACCGCCGAAGCCTGGAGACCGACGCCCGCCACCGCGGTCAGCGCCCTCCGGTGGTGCCGCCGCCCCTGCGGGCCGGCCGCCCCCAGCGCTGCCCGGCAGGTCGCCGCAGACATCGTCAGCACCGCCACAGAGAGGCACTGCGACGCCGCCGGCCGGCACGTCTTTTTCAGGAAGCATTCGTGGAACGTTTACGGGAGATCGATCCGGAGATTCAAGAGCACCGGCGGCATCTCAGAGGCCAGGGTTTCGCCAGACGTCATCGAGGACCGGCTACAAGGATAAACGCGATCGAGCTCGCGCCGTTCATGATGCCTCGATTGATCAGGACGAACCCGCCGATGAAGACGATGAGGAGTACGCCGCCGATGCGGTAGAGCACGAGGCCTTAGTCACGCACCTCTCGCCTGACGAGCTGCAGCAGCGCGTGGCCGCCTTCGAGAGCAGGGTCGCCACCAGCGACAAGGGGGCCTCTCACGTTCGATTTCAGGCAGCGCCAGAAGTGCGTCAGTTTTCCGTGGATTCTCGCGGAGCTCAGGCGGCGAGAAGCGGGACAAAATCATCGCATCAGGTCGACGTCATCTGGCATGTCCGGACGCCCTTGGACGTTTGCTTCCTCGAGGATTCCCAGGGTTTCTACATTGTCATCGACACAGGTTGCCAGCGCAACGTTGTGGGCTACGAGTGTTTGGGAAAGTTTCTGGAACATATCGCCTACCTGGGATTGAGTTTCTGGGAAGCTGAGGAGCAAGAGAGGTTTCGGTTTGGAGTCAGTCGTGCGGTGAGCAAATCTGTGGTGTATTTCCCGATATGTATTGAACATGTGGTGCCCCTGGTTTGCCGTACCTCCGTCTTGGACGTGAACCCTAAGTTGCCTTTCTTGGGATCGTTACCGATGTGGAAGCTCTTGGGCCTCCAGCTGGACACCTTGGGGGAAAGGGCTCATTTCACCAAGATCAACCTGTGCGACGTGCCCCTGAAGATTGCCCCGAATGGCCACTTGCTTCTGAGAGTCGACTCTTGGTTGAAGGATGTGGGGTTCCCAAGGGAGCCCGAGGCCTGGAAGTTCACCCCCTCGGACGTCATCATCCCGGAGCCCCAGTGGATCCCAGAGGCACCAGCCTGTGTTTCCGGAGATAGTTGTGCTCAAGCCGAGTCTCAGCCTATGCAGTTTTCACGCGCAGCACTGTGTGCTCTTACATATACTCACCGCGGGCTGCTTCAGCCTCGCGAAGTCCTGCCCTCCGTGCCAGACGGCTGTAACCTGACCGACGCCACACCCGTGTTCGAGAGCATCCTCGGTCTGTCGGTGAATGAAGTCGGCCAAGTCGGAGTCGCAGGAGGCCCGATCGTCTCGTCGCACAGTCCAGCTGACGAGGCAGAACCTGGCGATCAACGCGTGGACGAACCTGATGCAGCTGATCATGAACCACCTGTCGCACATCATCGGTCGCAGTCGCGAGCAGCTCCGGCAGAACATGGAGATGTCGAACCGGATGATGGGCACGATCGCGCAGATGGGCCACGAGATGGGCTACCTGACACCGATGGCGGACTCAGTGAAGGCGATCGCGAGAGGAGCCGCACAGGTTCCGGAGAGCGTGCTGCCACCGCCGCCGGCACCAGAGGATCAAGCCCAGAACTACTCACAGCTGTGCGAGAAGAGGGACGTGTGCGCCCATCCGACAACGAGGAGGTACTACGCCAAGGGGTACTGGCTGATCTGCGACCAGTGCGGCCGGCGGTGGAAGTCGGTCAACGGGAAGTGGATCGTGGACGACAAAGAAGATCCTCTTCGCGTACCTACCTCGACAAAGTCACTGGGTTCCTCCTCGCGCTCTCGGCCAGCTGCTTCAACAATGCCGAAACGCCCGGTCAAGTCTTCGGCGAGCTCGAGCCAGGGTCGTGCGCGGACCAAGGCGGAGCCAAGGTCACCCTCGGAGCAGGCGGTTCCGACGGACGAGGAGGACGACGAGAACATGGACAGGACCTCCGGGGGCGAGGAGACGGACCAGGGATGGGACAAGCTTCCGCGCCAGCCTCCCCCGCGTCGGGGACCGAGATGGTGAAGAGAGGCGCCTGGAAGCGCCTTCTCGGCACTGCTAAGAAGACGACCGCAGCCTGCGAGACGCTTATTAACGTGAGTCAAGATGCCGATCGCCGAGCTGCCGATTTACGAGACGCGGAATGGTGCTGTTCGGACGTGGCCTTCATGGACATTCCCGTTCCCGAGTTGCCCGACCACCTGTACCTGGACAACGAGTGCCAGGCGTGCGGCACCGACCTCATCGAGGGCTGCGCCGGGACAGCAAGACCTACGCGATTAGCTTCACGCTTTGAGCTGAGGGCCTCGCCGAGCGCCGACATAGAGGACGGCTGGGACTTGTCAACTACGCGAGGTGCTCAGAGATGGAAAGATCAGATACAGAAAGACAAGCCCCTCTACGTGATCGTAGGCTTCCCCTGCACGCTCTGGTGCTCCTACAACGTCAATGTGAATTACGTCGACCATCCCGAGCTGCTTGAGAGACTTCGTGCCCGGGATCGACGGCTGATTGACTTGATCAAGTGGACCATCAAGTACCAGGTGAAGCATGGCCGGTTCTTCTTGTTCGAGAACCCGCCGACGTCAGCGATCTGGAAGGACCTCCAGTTCGCCCCGCTCCTGCCCTTGGGCGAGACCGTTATTGGCCATGGGTGCCAGTACGGGAAGACAGGCAAGACTGGCCTGCCGATTCGCAAGGCGTATCGCTGGTTCTCCAACTCGCCGCCCGTGCTTGCGGCTCTGAGCCGCCGCTGCCCAGGACTTCGTCCGGAGTCCGGGGGCCACTTGCACGATCAGATTGAGAACTCGAAGTGGACAAAGGCCAGCGGCGAGTACACCGACGAGATGGCCCACGCGATGCTCCACGCGATCCAGCAGGTCGCCGCCCAGAGGAATCCGAGCAGGTTCGCCGACATGCCGGTCGCGGCTACCGAGTGGGAGGTCGCCTACAACCACGCAGGTCCCATCGAGGTGCTGTTCGCCTCGCCAGAGAAGGACCCCACCAGGTGGGAGGCGGTCATGCAGGGCGTCCGACAGATCGTGGGCGGCTCCGCCAGCCGAGGCGGGAACAAGGCCATGCATTACCTTTCGAAGTCATCCACGCTCTGGAGACAGATTAGCCAGCTCGTCCCGTGGGACCTCACGATGATCCAGCTCGCGAAGACAGCCAGACAAAGGAGGTTCCCCATCAACAAGGAGCCGTGGTCTCACCGTGGTCACTGCTACGTGGACGAGAAGGGGCATTACCACATCGAAGCCGAGGACCTGGTTGACGTGGCCTTCCCGACGTTGGCCTTGTCGCCGCCCGCGGACCTAGCCGTTTTCTTCTTCGGCTATGCCAAGCAGGAGTCCCTCCCGCAGGAGCCTGACACGTCACACATAGAGAAGCGAATGCCGCTTCCCCCGGACCCGAACGACCCGATGCTGCCGAACAACAGCCTGCCGCCCGACGAGGACGACGACCTGCAGGACGTCCCGATCGCTCGGATGCCTGACGCGTCCGGCGGTATGGCTGGCATACGTTTTGTTGGAGTGACAAAGGAGCAGTGTCCTCGTGAAGTTCGCCAGCTTGTCGCTCGTATGCGCTGTAACTTGGGACATCCTGTGCCCAGCGAGTTCTTCCAGTTCCTGGCTCAGAGAGGCGCCTCGCAGGCCGCGCTGCTGTGCGCCAGAGCGCTGAGGTGCCCGGCGTGCCTTCGTCGCAAACGGCCTCAGCGACAGCGGGAGTCACAGATTCCAAGAGTGGGTCTGTTCAACGACTTAGTCAAGGGCGACTTGTTCTACGTCATGACCCACGACGGTACGACGCACGCACTCTTGGGACTGGTGGACAAAGCTACGCGACTACATGTGGTGTGTCGGATTGCTTCACGCGAGCCAGGAGACGTCTGGGAGAAGTTCCAGACGTGCTGGCTCACCCCGTTCGGGATCATGCAGATTCTGGTTGTCGACCGGGACGGTGCCTTCGAAGCCGTGTTCATGGACAACTGCCACACGTTGGGAATCGACGTGAGGTACGTGCCGCCGGGAGCTCACTGGCAGCTGGGCCTGGCCGAATCCGGCAACTACGCCTGGCGCCGAGTCTTCGAGAAGGTGATCGACGTCATCCTGCCGACGATGCCAGAGCACGTGGACCTCGCGATCATCTCGACGAGCCACGCCGTAAACCAGTCAGTGCGCCGAGCAGGCCGCACCGCCTATGCCGCCGCCTTCGGACGGGTACCCACACTTCCGACCGAGCTCTTGGCCGACACCACGTCCGCCGAGTTCTGGCACAATTGCACCCAGGATGAGATGTTGGCCTACGGGGAGAGATGCCGCATTGAGGCGCTCAAGGCGATCGCCGACCTGGAGGCCGACGAGGCGCTGCGCACCTCCATCCTCCGCCAGCCTGTCAACCGCAAGGAGTACGACTTCCTCTCGGGGCAGCGCGTGGCAGCCTGGGGCGAGCATGGTCGCAAGCGACGGGGCAAGACGCCCGTGGCAGGGTATCGCCCAGGCATTTTCTGTTTCTGGGATTCCGGCACCAACGGCTACGGCGAGGGCGAGTCTGCCTGGCTGCGGATCGGGCACCGCACTGTGCAGGTGGCCCGCGAACACATACGCCCAGCCGTCGGTTTCGAGGGCTGGACCCCTTCCGAGGAGGACCTCAAGGAGCTCAAGACGGCCGAGCAGGACTTGGCGAAGGCCGGCCAGGGCGACGCTTCGAACATCACCATTGAGGGCCCTCCTGAACAACAACCCGAACCAGAAGATCCGCAAGCACGAGTGCTGCCGGGACCTCTTCCGGCAGCCCCGCTCGAGCCCATCCTGGAGGAGCCCGCACAGGCCTCTCTGGGAGACAACGCTACCAAAGAGAACTTCAGGAGCGCGTCAGCCGACGACGCCCCTGAAGCTGCGCCAGATGCTGAACTTCCTCAACTTGCCGACGCATCGGAGCCTCCGACGCCGACAGGCCAGAGCGGTACCCGGCGTCGAGCCCAGCGTCGAGCCGAAGGCGAAGCTCCAGAGCCCGCTGCGCCCTTTCCGTGGCCAGCACCGCCTCAGTTTGGACCAGTCCGAGCACGAGAGCGCTCTGCGACGCCCACGCCGAGGAGATCAGCACCTCATACCCGCGAGTCGTCCGCAGCTCGACCACCATCGAGCGGTTCGGCACCTTCGACGGTTATCGCACCACCACCGGAGAAGAAATCCCGACCAGGAAAGCTTCCTAACATACCGGGCTCACCGAGCCCAGCAGCCTTCGTGTCCAACGAGTCGGGCGAGATGGAGTTCATCACACCGGATGGCTGGGACGGAGTCGAGGAGCCGGTCTTGCTCAGGACCCGCGTGTTCTCGAGCCTGGCGGAGGTCCAGGAGGCCTACGAGGCGCACCTCTTGCCCATCGAGAACTTCGAGAACGACCTGATCGACGACAGCGAGCCGGACGACGACTGGACAAACTGCCTGTACATGACCTCCCACGAGCTCTCCGACCTCAGGGACGGCGAGATGGACGTGGACTGTGCGACAGCACAGGTGGGCGACACGACGGACTCGAACAACCTGTCGAGACGCGAGCAGCGTCAACTGGATCGTGAAATCCCCTGGCGGGAGATCGCAGAGTACCCGGAGGACCAGTTCATGGAGTACGTGAAGGCCTTGCGCAAGGAGTGCCAGAACTGGGACACCTGGAAGTCCGTTCGGGCCTGCTCGCAGGAGGAGGCCGAACAAGTTCGTCGTGACCCTCATCGCCGCAAACGGTGCATCCGCTCGCGCGTGTGCTACCGGGACAAGAACTTGGGGTTTCCGCCGTTGAAGGCCAAGGCTCGCCCGGTGTTGCTGGGGTTCTCCGACCCCGACCTGGAGAAGTTGCCGCGTAACGCCCCGGTGCTGACCGACGCCAGCAAGAAGCTGATCTGCCAGATCGCGGTCTCGAATGACTGGCGAGTCGGGACCGGAGACGCGGAGAGCGCCTTTCTCCAGGGAGGCGCCCAGAGCGAGCGCGAGGAGGCGATCTACATGATTCCGCCCAAGGACCCGATAGTTCAAGCCGCCGGAGTCTTCACCGCCCCGCTCTACGAGGTGGTTGGCAACCTGTACGGTCAGTCGACGGCGCCGTACCTGTGGTACAAGCACGTGGTGACGACCTTCCTGGCGCTGGGCAGCAAGCTCCACAGCCTCGATTCAGCTCTCTTCTTGTGGTTTTTTCCGAACAATGAGTTGGCTTGCGCGGTGGGTATGCACGTGGGCGATGCTCTTGCGGCACACCATCCCAAGTTCGACTTCACACCGATCGAGAAGGCTATTAAATGGCGAGGCTGGCAGTGGGACAACTTCGTCTTCCTCGGCGAGGAGTACCAGCGCCTACGTCAAGGTCCGTACAGTGGAAGTTTGTTTGTTCATCAAGCGGCCTACACTAAGGCGATTGCAGTCACGAAGGTTGGAGTTATGTCCAGCACTCGGTCTTCTTCTAAGCTGACGCGCTCGGAGCGCGAAGATCTGGAGTCTGCTGTCGGTTCGCTCCAGTGGTTGTCCGGACACACACGTCCAGACCTGTCAGCCGCGGTTTCCCTTGTCCAGAGGACCGACCCCGAGCTGAACGACCTACGGATGGCCATGAAGCGCGTAGAGTACGCGCACCGCACAGCCCAGACTGGCATCCTGATCGTCCGCGTCGATTTGAGCCGCGCCTGCTTCGTGAGTTTTGCAGACAGCTCATGGGCGAACGCTCCAGGATTGAAGACCCAGATCGGCGCCCTCATCTTTTTGGCAGACGAGGTGATACTCACCGGACCCACGTCATGTACTCTCTTGTTTCACAAGTCCAAGAGAACGCCGAGAGTGGTGAGATCTACGCTGGCTGGGGAAGCTATCGCGCAGGACCTGGGAGTGGACTACGCGTCGTACTTGTCGAAGTTCCTGTCCGAGATGTTGACCGGACGGCCTGCTGGCCGACACCCACCGATCTTCGAGGTTATCACCGTTACCGACTGCAAGTCTCTGTACGATGCCCTCCACCAGCTCACCCCGAGTTTGTCTGAGAAACGTATTGTGATCGACGTGATTTCCATTCGTGACGAGGTGAAGGTCAAGAACGTCAGATGGATCCCTACGACGCACATGATAGCCGACGGCATGACCAAGGAGGATCCGAAGCTTCGCGAGAATCTGACCGAGTTCTTGGCGGACCCAGTGCTTTCGCTCGTGGAGTCGATTGCTTGCGAGGAGCTGACCGGTGGGGATGGCCAAGTACAGAAGAAGCGATTTGATTTTTCACTTACACGTGCCGGGAGTCGCGTTTCACTCCCATCCGCTTGGTTTCGCCCAAGATATTGCGAGTTTGATTTTTCACTTACACGTGCCGGGAGTCGCGTTTCACTCCCATCCGCTTGGTTTTGCCCAAGATATTACCGATTCCGGATGCCGTATCGAGTTTCGGTTCATTGATTTCAGCTGCCGATCCTTGGCCGCTCAAAGAATTCAGTTACTGTTTTATTTCGTGCTAATCCGAGTCCGTGCTGCAAACAAGCCCGTTGTATAGCCAGGCCGCATTCCGAGCTTCAGAGCAGGACCAGAGAGAACTCCAGGAGTGCAATAGTCATTCTGTTTATCTGATAATGCTGGTCCCTGCTATTGCTGTTGCATGCTCTCACCCCTTCTGCCCGTAAACATATTGGCTGAGGGGGGCCCCTTTTGCCTACGCTACCAGCTAGCATAACTTATCATTTGCAGCGAGAAGGTCTTGGAATAAAAGATTCACGCATATTGTCAGCACCTGCGTGTGCGTTGCAGTGGGAATACCCTTGCGAGGAGGCACCGAAATGACCACGATCAAATCTTACACACAGCTTCAGATGTACACTTTCTTGAGCACCCGCAAACGCAACATGTTTTTTAATACCAGACGCGGCCAGCATATATCGCGTTCGCTGGCCGCTTGACAAGAATGTCAGCAAAGCAATGTACAGCGAATCTCGTGTCCAACACGGCGCTCAAACGCCCCGCAATTTGATTGCCATGAAATTTTTGCCACGCGTATCTTTCCTTCATGATTTCGCCCAGGGTTGGATTCCACTCGAAGTCAAGCATGGTCTCAACGCCGAACGACTCTGTGAGGTAGAACAGCAGCTTGTGCAGCAGTCAGAAATGACACCGGTCGTAGTACTGCGTGCATGCGTTCTTGTTCTTGAACGGATTTGTTTCACGTATACCCTTGGCAATTTCGATCGATTCCCCATTGAGGCAATTAATCCGAAAGCCCTTATAACGGCGACGAGGCGACGATCGAAAGCAGTGCCCCGGCACTGCTTTGAACGCGTTCAAAGCAGTGCCCCGGCACTGCTTTGAACGTATGATATGATGATATGATGATGATTATGATTGATGATGATGATGATTTTTCCAGCGTACACTGTCCGCAACTGCGGCAATCAACATCATGCTCCACTTGCCCGCAACTGCGGCCATCACCAACGCTGCCCCTCGAAGCTCCGCGGAGGGCGCTCGGCAGGTCGCCCGCTCGAGCCCCACTCGACTTCACGCTGAGGAGGCGAGCCCTCAGGGGCATTGTCCGCAACTGCGGCATGATCAGAGGGCCACCACTGCGCGCCATCAGCGCCCCATTCGCTCGAGCTCCAGTCCCACCAGGACCAGCCCTGCCATCTCGTGGCGGGACTGCGCGCCTCCCATGCGCCGCTGCCGCTGGCGTCCCAGGACCCAGCCGCCACTGCGGCACAAGAAGGGGTCGCATCGTCGCCGTTGGCAGCTTGCGGCGGTGGCGTGTTCCCAGCTCGCTCAGCCCCAGCGTCTCTCCCCGCAACTGCGGTTCCCATCTGGGGTCGGACGCCCTTCCCCGCAACTGCGGTGTCCGCGTAGCTGCCCTTCTTGCCGCCCTTCTTGCCGCCCTTCCTGCCGCCCTTCCTGCGTTCCAACCTCGCGGCGAGTCTTTCAGGTGACCTGCGGCACGTATTGTGCGTGAAAGCCACCAGAGGGAAGTGCGCTCCGTGCCTCGCCCTGCCGAAGGCGCCATGCCATATCTTGTCGTCGAGGTTGCCCTGCTTCACTCTGAAGGGATGGCGCACCCAATCGTCGCGTTCCCTGCGCGCCATCCTTTGCTCGAACTCCGCAACTGCGGTCAAGGATTCGCCAGATGGCGTCAGGAAGGCGCGCATCTTGTTTTCAACGGGCTCAGCCTTGGGCACGTAAGTCTGAAGCATCTTCCCAGGGCCATTCGTGTAGTCGAAGACAGGGAAAGACGGATCATGCTGGGTCGTCAAGAATCCGCCCTCACGGTCGTGCAGAACACTCAGGCCATGGTGAAGCTTGCACTGCCCAGGACAGTTTATGAACAAAATCGCCATGCTGTCTGCCCTGGGCTGGCCGCCTGCTGTCTTCCAGGGGGTCCACGCGGCGACGTCCACAGTCAGGCCGCAATTGCGGCACCAGGACACAAGCTGGAACATGCACATGTTGAAGTCCCCCATGCAGACCTTCACGTCCCATTCCCTGACGTAGGCGACGAACCAGTTGTAGAACTCATGGAGCTTCGTGACGCCCCAGTCTTGGTTGGCCAAGCTGTGGTGGACGTGCACCGCCATGACGTTGAAGGAGCCCCCCAAATGGGTCACGGCCTGGTCCAGGTGGACGCGCACCACCATCGCCCTGGAGTACTTGTTGTGCAGCTTTGGCGCAGGAGCCTCCGCAACTGCGGACGGTTTCTTCTTCTTCTTCGTTTTGGACTTCTCCTGCTTGTGGAAGAGTCTCGCAAAGTCTACGTGTTCAATGTGGCCGCCACTGCGGTCCCTCATGCCAACAAGGAGGGTCCCTGATGGCTCGCCGCCCTTAACGCACAGGTAGTTGTATTGAGTCCGACTCCGAAACCTATCGTCCGCAACTGCGGCTGCACTGTCCCTCGCGTCGTGCTCCCCACTGAGTACCGCGCAGGTCTCGTCGTCGCACTCGCAGAGGGCGATGATCTGGGCAGGGTTCGCGCGGAGCTGCGCCCACTCGTCCGCGCGTTGCGTGGGTCTAGCTGCAGTCCCTCCGAAGTTGGCCACGTAGAAGCCGACCCGTCCCGCTTCGAACTCCGTTTTCTCCTCCCATGCGTCGACAAGAGCTCTTTGTTTTTCCGACAGATTGCTTGTCTCGATGATGGGCACCCGTTTCCAGGGTCTCCGCGACGACAACACTCTCGGCATGTAGGAGTCATGTGCTGCCGCAACTGCGGCTCCCGCACCTCCCCGGGACTCAGCCTCGTCAGCGGAGGCAGCCGAGGACGCGACGGTGCTGTCGCCATCTTGCGTCCGCTGGTCGTCGTCATCATCCGCAACTGCGGCTTCCTCGTCTTTGCCTCCCTCCTCCTCCTCAGCGTTGTGGATGAACACCGTTCTGGCGAATCGAGGTCCACGGTCCATACTCCCTGAGGATGCGCTCGGGCGCGCGGGCGGCCACATGCTTGCGTCTTCGCGTGCGCCACCTCGAGCCACGGTGGCTACGGAAATGGATCGTGAATGGGCATGGGGTCGGATGGAGGGAGGAGACAAAGAGGATTCGAGGAGTGGCAGAAGGAGGGCGAGGACTCAAAGGAACCGAAAGAACAACAAATGGACTGGCGGAGAAGCAGAAGGAGGGCGACGATTGCAAGGGACTGTGAAAGGATTATTTTCACAGCAGCAGGAAGACCGCAACTGCGGTTTTGCCTCATCTCCTGCCCGCGCGGGAGCCGCTTGGAAAAACAACTTCCCTCTGGACTTCCTGTGGGTCCGCAACTGCGGCCTGCATCACGCTAGGGCTGGGATTACCAGCGCCATTTGCCCTCCCAGGGTTCTCACTGTTTCCGAATGCACGAACTGCGACAGCGCCGAACGGTTCCCAGACGCCGCGTCGTTCGCGACTTTTTGCAGCCACCCAGCAAACGTGAGCGGCCATTGCTCCTTGTGCTGCTTGCACATCTCCTCGTCCCAATGCGTCTTGAACCATGCCCACTCCCCCCTCTGCTCGTCTGAGAGGACGCCTTTTCCGCGAGCCAGGCGATCCAGAGCTGCCATCCTGTTTTTCTTGATCTTGAACTCCTCGGGATTCCACTGCGCTAGGGCGTGTTTGTTAGCCAAAGCCGTTTCCACCGCAACTGCGGCCTCCTTCTTTGCCCTCAAGGCGGCCTCGGCCTCTCGAATCTGCTTCTTGAGATCGTGCAACGCCTTCGTCCTGTCGTTCGCTTCCAGAGCCAGGCGCCGCTTTTTCGCCACCACTGCGGCTTCGTGGTCTCGCTGGGCAGTCAACGCTCGTAGGACCTCGTTGTCCTCCCGCGCCAGCTCTCTCAACCGCTTCTTTTGTTTGTGTCGTTGCTGTCGGCAATCCTGCGCTAGTTTCTCCATGCCCACTTGGCGCAGCATATCTTCCGCCTCGCGGAGCGTTTCTGCCAAGGACGTCGCCACTGCCACCTGCTCGGCCGCCTCTGCGTCGACCACGCAGTCCATGGATACCGAGGATCCTTGAGGCCCAGGTGCCGCAACTGCGGCATCGCACTGTTCCGCAAGAGCCTCGGCCCACGAGGCCTCCTCTTGCTCTTCGTCCTCCTCGTGCTCCTCGTGCACCTCCTCCTCCTCCTCCTCCCCGCCCTCCTCATCGCCCTCCTCGTGGCCTGGCTCCTGGCCTAGCGCTTCGTCGCCGAGCTTCTCCAACACGGAATCTGTGGCGTCGTGTTTCTCGTATTCGTGTATGAGACGCAGCACGTCATTGTAGGACCATTTCAAACGTTTCTGCTCGCATTCTTCCCTCACCTCCGCGACTGCGGTGTCCACTTTTGCTCGCAGCCCCCCTGCTTCCCAGAGTTCCGCCGCCTCTCGGCAAATCTCGAGATCTCCTGACTTGTCGAAGGGCGCTCGAATTCCCACTTTCAGGAAACCTTTCGCGGCGTCCAAGTGCAACTGCACATTCTCCAACACTGACAGCATCAAGTCGGCGCAATCGGAACGCCGCAACTGCGGCACGTGCTTCCCCAACGCCATTTGCTGCACCAGCGCTTTGGTCTCGAGGGCAATGTACCGGCGCTTCACGTGCTGGTTCAAGTCCGTGTCCACGGGCTGCGCAACTGCGGTCGCCCCCCCGCCGTGAATGATCAGCACGTAGCCGCGCTGCCAGGCGAGTCTCCGCACAGCGTCTGCTTTGTGCGGGGAATGGTCGTCGGCCATGAGGATGCGCCACTTTCCCCGCAACTGCGGGTCGTCGGGCCAGGCCCGCAAGTGCCGCTGCAAGAATGATACAACGTCGTCTGCGCGGTAGGACCCCTTCTCGGACGTCGCCGTGCTCACCCAAGACGGATAGCCGCGACTGCGGGCATGTGCGG